AACGGCATCTTCCGTTCTCGTAGTCTTGCTGTGTACGAGCACGTACCAGCGAGGGACAAGGACTCCTCACCGTCGTGAACTCCCCGAACTTGCGGAACGTGACCATGCCGGCTACCAGGTGCGCGGCCTGACACACCTTCGGACGTCCTGCTGTATAGCATGCAAACGGCCAATAAACCTTCTGCTGGGAGTAGCTGGATCAGTGCGACACTCATCAGGAGCACACTCTCCCATATTCTGTCCATCTCGTACATTCATAGTTACATTTGCGCGTGGCATGGTCAACGTCTGCACGACGGAATAAAATAGGCAGCAAGCAGGGCAGGCGGCATTCACACCTCTGGTCACATCTTTGCTACCCACCGGGTTTTGGGGGGGTCCATGATGAGTTCGAAACTGATCAAAGGGCCCATTTGCTACTTCATGTCCAGAAGCGTGAGGTTTCGTGGAGGCGGCTACCCAGGATTGGTGGGTACTAAGATTGAGCAGAAATATATGCCCAGAATATTCCTTCCAAGCCTATGTGATGTAAATATGAGACCAAGTTAGGTCATCGTCCGTTTTCGATCGTGCTCACTGTGATGTCTAATGTCGACCTTTGCGTTTCCCAAATCGTGTTGTAAAAAGCCCGTCGTTTCAATTTCAGGTTAAATATTGGCCAGCAGGTTTGAATCCTTTTTGACCTCCAGTGCACTAGACAGAACATACCATGTTGTTAATCTCCTGGCTGCTATAGTGTTGAAGGGGAGGAGAGGGGGGGAAGAGAGGAAGAAGGTGAGTAGAAAGGAAGAGGAAGATGATAAAAGGAGCAGGAGAAGGGCAACGAGAATATGATGAAAGAAGAAGAGGGATAAGAATAGCATAGAGGGAGAAATCGCCTACCGAAATACACCGGAGCCTTGCCCTTTGTCTTCGGCAGACGCACAACGACAGAGAGCACTGCTGCAACACCAAGCATAAAAGAGAGTCAACATCGACAGCTGATAGAAGACAGCATGGATTTGTCGACAATGATGCCGGTTATGAGCTGAGAAACATGCTCATCGGATGTACTGATGAGCAAAGCCTCGAGGCAGACCCTGTCAATGACAAGGGCTCATGGTGTAGATATCGATTATTCCAACAACCCCCAGTGACTATCAGGGACGTGGAGCTGCCCGTCAGATACAGGTTTTGGAAAAAGGTGGGTGCGTAGTTGCTGGTACGTTCTTCACACGCGCGTAGATAGTTGGTGATGATACAGGTGCTTCAGCCCATTCGAAGGAAGGGTCGCGGTTGTTGTATTGATCTTGATCGTTCTATATCTGATTATGAGGATGTATATGAATGTGAGTTGAACGGGATCACTTGGAGGCCTGAGGCTTGGACTCCGGATAAAGGAATTACCACTTACTCGAGTCGATGTCTCTCCATTACTGGAAGGACATGCTAGAAAAACATAACGAGACATCCCATACAAATACGCGTGAAGGCATCTCTGTTCCCCGATACGAGACACAGTGATTACTCGTAATCTCCTTATAGTCAGCGGAGACGGCTGGATGTGTTCTTGATAATGTCGCCCTTGCCCCTTTTCACCAAAAGTCTGGGCGAGTAGGGAGGAAGCCACACGCCACAGGCAGGAAGGATGGCGAGGACATCCCGGATGACGAGAGCAAGCGCTGTATATCGACTCCCCAGTGCCGCCAATGTACTTTGGTTTATAGAAGAACTGGTTGGCAGTCATAACGGTTGTCGTGGCTAGTTGTTGACTGGTAACAAGGAAGCTGCGGATCTCAGGAGGAGCGAGTTTACCATTATACAACGGTCTAGCATTGACTGCTCCTAGTTCGTTCATGGCGAAGAGAGAGCATATTATGGAGAATAGAGAGATGGTGGATCTATAGATAGAAGAGAAAGATAGAGGCTATGGAGAGAAGGTAGAGGATAAAATTCATCATAGAGAGAGAAGAGAGAGAGAGAGAGAGGGCGAGAGAGAGAGAGAGAGAAGAGAGAGAGAGAGAGAGAAGAGAGAGAGAGAGAATGGGGATGATAGAGAACAAGGAGAAATAGTCGTCGATAGAGAAGTAAAAGGAAGTGGAAATCAAGGAAAGCCAGGGAAGATACATACAAGTGAGGAAGGAGTAGATGGCGGAAAGGAAGGAAAGGAAGGAGCGAAAGACGATGAAGAAGAGTGAAGGAGAAGTGGAAGGAAAGAAGGGAGAGGGCAGAGAGAAAATGGAGAAGGGAGATTCACCAGCAAAGTGGCTGAAAGAATACCAATACCGGTTCCAGCAGAGAAACGCCCATCGAGAGGAAATTCTCTGGTACCCGCTCCAGCAGTGAGATACGAAGCAATAATCACGAAGGGAGCCCCGCTGGAGAAGAAAAAAAAAGGGTTTACATGTATGCGAGAAGATCTTACAACGGACACTAGGAGACCATGCACCAATCCAACCCCCCAACCGAAGAATGGAGGTGAGCCATCCCTGCGCTGCCGAAATCGAGTTGATATGAGGGAAGCTAGCTTCGAAACTCGCCTTGACCAGTACCTGGCCAAGAACGCCCTGCTGATATCCATAGAGAAGGCCGTCCGACTCCGACCACGTCGATCCCGAGCCCGGAAGAGAGAAAAGTGAGCTCTCCAATGGCGGTGAACATCTCACCTCTCTCTTCCACGCACGAGCAAACATACGCATACACGCACACTATATCTTCTTGCGCGAACGGATGACTCACAAGAGAGAGGCAGACTCGGCAAACGAGGCAGCGAGAAGAGTGTGGAAGTTGGATGGCTCGTCATCGACCAGTCGACCGGGCTCAGATGATTGCTACCGCTCTGACTTTCCCTGATTATATTAACCAGTCTCATATTGTGGTCGGACATGTCGACACAGAAGCTCAATCCCCAGTCATTCACTGTCAAGACCGGCTAACTGACAGAAGGTGTTTCCTTCACCTCCCACAGCCAGGGTACCCCTGATCTTCCCCGTCGTGAGTGGCGATTGAGCGCACCTGGTACTAGGTAGTTGGCCACAATACAGACGGTCATATATCTCAGGAAGCTCTGTCCCACCGATACCATACCGTGAGAAGTGTACCTCGTATGGCATGAATAGGGGGCTCTGGACTTTGGGATGTTGATGGTAACGGGACTTGGCTGTGGTGTTTTCTCGATGTCGGCTCTTCGCCCGGTGGCTACTGCGCTGAGAGTCATCGTCCGTCAGCGCCTGATATCAAGCGTTCGGACTGTTTTATACAGCTTGATGGCACACATATACCGCAGACGATATAATGTGCAACCGGTTCTGAATACATGCACATGGAGGTTGCTATTTCGTACACGCTGTACATAGTCGTACTCGTGTCACGCCCCGCATCACAACTCGTATAGTAACATCACGTATGATTGCTCCATACTTTTTTCGTTGTATAACAGCGGGTCGGCAGAAGATGATGTAGAGGATATTATCAATAGCTAATACTTACATCATAGAGTGTATGCACCCTTGTTCCCATGCTCCGACCAAGGACGTTGCCTCTACCCTAAAGGATACCTTGCTGTGCCTCTAAGAGCAAGCAGAGAAACTGCCTCTGACTCCTCCCACATAGCCTATACTTCATACAGCCTCATATCGAGTCTCTCTAGAGCCACGGTGCTGTCACTATAGACGTTGAATTCGGTGAAGACGTCGTGTAGACTACCCGACGGAAGCTGGTACTGTTGGAGCTTCATCCTTTCTTTCCCCCGTCTCGGAGTTGCGATGCCATCTAGCAGACCGAATTGCTTGTCTGACTACTCCTTACCTCGAGCACGAGTAGACTTCTACTCATCTAACGAGGAAAGATATCAGAAACCGGGATATAGAACCCCTATGTCATGGAAAGCCCAGTACATCTATTACGTAGTCTAGGTAAAGCCGAACTCGGTCGCGAAGGTGTCGAGTCTTGACGAGATGAATGGAGAGACTAACATGTAGGAACTTGATATTCGATGACGCGTAACCTACCCCAAGTAGCTTGGCCGTGTCTGCTGTGCTGTTGCCGTCCTTGATATCATACCTACGACTACTCTATCCTATCCTCGTAGTCTCGCTAGTGGCGACTTCACTTCCAACACCGGATTCTTGTTCTTGCCGGTACTGACCAGAACATCTCTTGCTTCTGACCGACAGTGTCGGAAAAGCATGACAGCTTGAAATCCGCATCGCATGCCGTATCATCCACAGAGGCAGTACCGGACCATCGAAGAAAGGGGCGGTGGACGCAGACAAGTTGTCAAGTTTCGTTTCAATGCACAGACAGAGAAACAAGGGGCGCGTACGAGTAATGATAGTCGCCACAAGTAATTATACGAAGCAGCCTCCCTCCCGTACGCTGTACACGCCGCTCCGCTACAGATCGCTGCTTACCACTGCTCCGTGCTCCGTACAGATGCCAACCTGCATACTCGTATATAGCGAGATCACTACTAGCACGGAGTAGATTCTATTATTATACTCGTTTCAAAGCCGCATTTAAGCGGTGTACATGTGACGTTGTCCTGCAAAGAAAAAGCGGTATATTATCGTCCGGTCTGGCTATCATGGTACGCGGCCAAGCCGGCACGTCGGAGCTCGTATTGAGCTGGGGGACAGCATTGCAAAGGGGTCCAATTGCCAGGTGCCATGGTGCCAAGGGGGGCCATGATGTCACGTCGAAAGAAAAAAATCGGACACGAGCTGGGCTGTAGGGCCGTGGAAAGGGTGGTCCCAAGACAATTTGCGCCAGGGTCAAATACGAGCTTCTTCTCCACATGGCTCTGTCAATGCGACGATCTTTCTCGGCTCTTTCCTTAGCAACTCCACATCAAGTCCCGACGCAAGGTCGGACGAGAAGGGTATAAAGACCTGCCGACCTGTCCCTTGATCCTCCAAGTCCATCATCATCCTCAAGCCTTCCTCCGCAAGAACGACAAGAAACGACAAGAACGACCAAGATCCCTCCCACTCACACAGCAACAAGACCACTCTACATTCAAGATGAAGTTCTCCATCGTCGCCGTTCTCTCCGCCGCCGCCGCCGTCTCGGCCCTGCCCGTCTTCGAGGTCTCCGACTTCTCGGCCAGCTGCATCCCCCACAGCTCCCAGTGCAGGTACGGACGAGGCTTCCTCCTGGACAGGAGGGGGGGGGGGAAGGACCGCAGAGGCCCCATCTTCTTCTGTCTGAATACTGACGCGAAACTCGCAGCTACGCCTTCAACGTCATCCGCCCCGGCAACGGAGAGGTCACCCCCATCAAGTGCAGCTCCCTCACCACCAGTGACGGCACCCTCCCTGCCGTCAAGGAGGGAACCTGCAAGGACTCGTCGCGCACCTTCAGCGTCACCCGCATCCTCGCCGGCCTGCACCTCACCGTCAGCCAGCCCGTGACCCCCTCCAGCAACCTGACCGGCTCCTACACCATCCCCCAGAGCCAGCTCGTCACCTCCACCGAGCCCAACGCCGAGGTCCAGAGCTACAACGGCCCCACCAGCTTCCGCCTGGACTAAGCTGTCGGCCACGTCTAGTTGCCGAGCTATCGTCCATAGTGTCTTAGCATAGCGGTAGTGGAGGATCTTCATTTCTCTCCTTCCCATGGAAGGGGAGAGGGAAAAAGGCTACGAGGGAGGATCACCGGCTTCGGAAATGGACTCTTCCAGGAGGACTAGGTCTCATCGCTTAGTCTAGCTGGCGGAAACAGTCGTCGCCGGGAAAGGCACCCCAAGCAACTTTTTATCATTATTACTCTCTTCCATAGAATAGCATCATTTCTTCCTTGGGAATTCCCGAGGAAGCCATCTTCGCGTGCCATTTTCTTTTGAAACCTAAGTCTTATCTTGTCCACACGTATATTCGCAACTGCTTCCATCTTCCTATCCATGACGTTTGAAGATTCGGCCCCATTATGCTTCTGCAAAGTCGCATGCACGGTAACATGCTGCAGCCCTAACAATAATCTCCACATTGCCACCCCCAGAGCCGTTATCATCTATACCTGCTATATGAGCACATATATAAGACTCACCAGTGATCTTCGTTCTGACGGTGGGGGGGCAATTAATGGACCCTGACTTGTCCTGGGTAGAATTATGACTTGTGACAGAAATGGCCGCCATAAAAAAAAGAAAAAAAAAAGAGGCAGAATTCGCTCTCCACATTCAAGAAGTCCAGTAATCTCTCGCCTCTCTATAGACATACGTCTTCGCCGTTGACACTGCCGCGGGATAACTCAACTCGTCCGATGCTAGTTACAGTCCGGGTATCATGACTCACCGGTATGGGCTGTCTGTGTAAGTGTGTAGTACGTAGTATGTAGTATGTAGGTACACACATGATGATGTCAATACGTGTAAGCAATCCGCAGACTGGGTAGCGAACAATGGTATATCTAGGCAACGTCCCCTATAGTCGAGATCGACTCTAACCCCCTCCAGATCCTGGCCCGAAATCTCCACAATGTCCTCTTCCCTCTTCCGTCGCAACCACTACAGATTACGCTGAGCAGCCACGCAGTCGGCGGACTGATCTCTGACGCGTCTGCACTCGCCTCGTCTCTGCTCCTCCTGCATTCACCCAGGTCCTTCTTCCCATCATGTTGAGTTGGACCTGGACCGGTACAGTCAGATCCGAAGGCCGGGCTGTAGTGTCCGCGGGTGGGGCCGGCCCGATGGGGCAGCCGGACTTCTGCCTTACACTCAGAGGGCTGATTCGCCTGTGGAGGACGGGTATGCCTCCGGGGTACGATCAGCCCGAAAAGGTGACCACGTCGTTCTTTTTTCTCTCTCAGAAGACAACTCATCGTCATTCTGTGCCAAAATAAACTGAGATTTAGGAACGGTCATCCAACCGCGCTCTCATGGTGTAAAGACGACGACCAGCGGAAGGAAGCCGACTTTATTCGTGTCCTAGGGCCGGCCCGACAGATGCACCACCGTCAACTATCCGAACTAGCAGTAGTACCTACCACAAGAAGAAGAAGAGAAAAGTACAGAAATGGAAAAAAACCAAAAAAAGGAAAGAAAACATACAACAGCGGGTATTCGCTGGTCGTCACCGACCCAACTACTAATCCACCGCTCAGCGGCTTGACTCTGGGGGAGCGGACGGGACCCCGTATTCTCCACTGGCTATGGTCGTATGTGGTGGAGGGAGCTCCGCCCTGATCTCATATACCTTTCCACGGTCAATGCCGCCCTGTTCATCCTGCCTTCGAGGACCTACCAAATGGGTCAACTACATACTAAGGGATTACTATAAAAGATATTGATAATGATAGGAATCATCATAGTATATCATCTCATAGCGTAGGTAAGCGGGGCTCGACTATAAACCCGTCGAATCCCGCACCACAACGATAAAGAAGGACGAGAATCTTGACACCACACAATACCTGACCTACCTTTATAAGTTAGTAGTAGTGATTGCAGTGCTTGTTCTCACATAAGCATTGCATTATTCGACCATCTCCTGATATCTTCCTCACTGACTTAACAACCTCGCTATTCCACTTACACGGTCTTGCTCTTGTGCCATTCCTAACGTTCATAGTGTTGGATCCTAACACCGTCCCACCACACCGGACGAGCTCGGCTTTCCCGACCTAGACAACGGCGGACAAGTATGACAGGGATGGTGATTTGGGGCGATTATGATTGATTGCAATGGTCGTAATGATCGCACCTGCGACTATAAATAATCCAACAGCTCGTGGTCTTGGGTGTGCGGTGATAAGTAAGGGGAAAGAAAAAAAAAGAAAACGGGTGGGGTGCACGTAAAAGGTTGCATGACGGGCCGTAACCTTTAGGAGCAGGAGAAGACAAGAAAGACAGATGCAAGGATAGAGACCAAATAAAGATCGTACGGTTCACGATCGGTAGCCAGACGGTGAGACATTCACAGCTAGTTTGGTTTCCCTCCATCCCGCCATTCTGCATGCTTCGTCATTGTCCTGCATACGGAAACCCCCTTCTCCTCTCATCATCTGCTCTACGCCCTCCCGACATGAGAAGAGGGAGCTTCCGACCATGACAGTGCGATCGAGGTAGGAAGAGAAGAAAGCCATCCTGTCCTGTCCATCATCTTTTACCGGCCATTTGCAGGTACTGCTACTTAACGGGCGTGCGTATTGTAAGGTGCTGGAAGATTCCAAGCTCCTGCCTCGGGCGACCTTCCTTCATACATACCATCAGCTTCTTCATCTTCCAACATGCAGCACCCACACCGTCCTGGTATCGATACCCACGGTTGTGTGATATCTCGGCTCGGGTATGGACATGGCGTTAGCAGTACAACCCGTGAGGCTATCTTCATCTTCTTCAACGTACCGTTCACACCCCTTACATGCTTGTGCGGAACCAGAGATGGGGTGTGCTGAGACATCGGGGTTGACGAGGGGATATCCGTACATCGATACTCACCGGCTCCTCACGCTTGAACGATTGGCCTTTCTCGCAACATGTCTACGTTCACTACACCCTATCGAGCCCTCCGAGGATGGCTATACCGTTGCCGACGGGGCTCCTGAATCCTGGAGGCTCTGGAGGACGCACCGCGGGTCCGGCTGACATGTATCCAAGCTGTACATCCTCTGGGGGCTCGTCATCGAGTCCGTCTCCGTCTCCGTCGGCTCGGCAGTGCGGTGCGCTTTCCATCTGGCCGGTGTCTCGAGCACATCGAAGAGAGGCTGCGGAGGCACCTTCTACTCTTACCGTGCCGCCGGCCGACCTCGAGGTGCTCCCCTTGTCGCTCATCCTCCGGCTCGGGCTTCCGACGCTGGGAATGGTGGCGACGACCGACGAGGCCACCAGGCACTGGGTACCTGGACAGCTCAGTATCACCGTCCGGGTTTTCCACCCCATGCTGGTTCGCCCTCCGACACAGTAGCATGGGACGGGCATATGAACCGACCCGGGGGGGACGCCAAGGGGAAGATCGGCAGCTCCCAGAACAAGAGTTCGGGCGGAAACGACGTCGACCCTTGCACGCTGTCGCCTTCTGGATGGCTGCTGCGCCTCACCTGGCAATCGTGTCGGCAATCTCTTGGTCGCGCCTGCTGCCGGGAACGCTCCCAAGCCACGTGGACGAATCGCTGGGAGTCTTGTCAGTGTGGCCCGCATCATCTATCCTCTCCTCGCTGACCATCCATGGCAAGGATAGCGAAACAGGCAAATGCAGTAATATGGGGTGGGGAGTCGTCGGTGAGGATACGAGTGCTGCGGGGATCAAATCCACCTCTGTTCCCGTCTTTCCCCGCGAGGATGTCCCTTCAATCTCATCGTACTATCCAAGTCGATTCCCTGTGGTGCGTGTCGGGATGCAGGATGTTGCATCATCTCCCTCCAGGGAGAATTGGTCATGGCCGGAAGCAGTTGCATTATCGACATGGACGAAGAGGCAAGTGATGCAAACTGATGAATGATGACGTCCCGGAAGCAAGTCATCCAACTATGCCACATATATGGAAAGAGGGCTCTCGGAAGGACACGATACTCCCAACACAGCACAGTCTCTGATGATCCTGGCTATCGTTTGAGGTCGGGCGGTCGGACAGGTTCGGAGGAGTCTTGGGAGGATCTTGTTAGATGTTCCCAGCTGGTACCCGTTCAGCGCAGACCGGTATGCCTGTTCTGAGCCTGCACCGCAGATGACGGCGACGACCCCAACTGCTGTTTGTATCCCGTATCATCTTGACTGAATGGCGTGGCGGGCTGCCCATCGTCTGCCCCGTCAGATATACGGAGACGTTGGTATTTGAAATAGCACCAGGGGAGGTAGGATTAGCGAGCAGGTTGCTTCGCGGGAAATCACCGTCCCGTCTGCACTGATTCCTCATGAGGCGGGGATAAGTTCTCTTTTCCCAAGGGATTTTATAGGATATTCCAAACCTTGGCTGAACAGAAAGTACGGGTAGACGCAGCTTGCCGCGCCGTGCGAGGTGTACGAGTTGGGTAGTATCTGATACGACATGCAGAGCATGCTACCGGTCACCACGACGTCGTGGCCGGTGACAGTCTCGGAGCTCGAGATGGAGAGAGGAGATAGCTGTGATACTGTGAATGTCAGGTGATGGGATCTCCTCGCAGCACACGCACACGCACCACTTCTGTACAGTCACAACTCATAGAACATCATCATGAGTGAAAAACTAAGCAGAGAACAATCTCTTCTCCGCGGATTCGACCGCACTATGCACCATCCCTCTCGTGAGCTGAAAAGACATGGGGAAGCTGTAGATTGGGAATCGACTTCGAATCTGACAAGACAGAACACAGGATTAAGAGAGATACCGACTGGAAGGGTATTAAATATGATTTTCCAGATAATTGAGACAGTGATTAACAGACACAGAAAATGACAAGAGAAAGAAAAGAAGAAGAAAAGAGAAGAAAAGGCGCTATCAGAAAATATGAAGAGACAGAGAAACAAGGAGAAGAAGCAAAAGGGGTGGGTTGTTGGTGATATAGGGGTTTGTGTTGACAAGTCACGTCTCCCTTCCTTCAAAAGCAGCAGACAAAACGGACAGCAATCCGGATCTCCTCTTCTTTTCTTTTCTCAAAAAAGAAATTGAAAGAAAAGTGTAAGAAAAAATACAATGAAACCCTCTCACAAGACAAAGAGAAAACACAGAAACGAAAAAAAAAAGGAAAAAAAAAACAAACAAATCATATCAACAGATGCTAGGTCCATGCGCATTGAAGCTCTCCCTTGTATCTCTCACCTTGACATTTTGTCTCTCTCTTCTCCTTCAGCTCGGGTACAAGACTACTCCCTCATATTGTCTGCTCTTGATATTCTCCAGCGTTAGGTTGAAGTGCTTTCTGCTGCTTTCGACCGATGCCGATTCCTGCTGGTTGCTAGCAAAGTTGGAGTGGATGAGCTCGATGAGACCGTTGACGTATTTGGTGGTGACCTGACCGTGTTAGCACATACAGAGGGCGGGAACATAGAGATGGAAGACAAAAGAACAGCATACCGATTCGTTCTGCTGATCAAAGTAAAAGATGTAGCGATCCAGGATCTCGACAAACAGCTCAATCGACGCCGCAGTGTCCATGCAAGAGTCTGCAACGCGCAGCGCACGCTGAAGACACTCGAGTACCCTCTTTCCATCACGATAGAGCTTTCACTATTGTCAGCATATTTCTCTTTCATACCCATACCGGCAGCAGTCAAATAGCGAGAGAGGAAGGGGGAGAGAGAGGGGGGAGGGTGTGTGTGGAGAGAAGAGAAAAAACAAGAGCAAGATATACCTCTGTATCCTCCGTCTCGCCATTCGTCCCCACGGGTGTCGCCCACCAGAGGTGACTAGCCAGGCAGACGGCCCTGCACTGATCCGGCTTGCGGAGAAGCTTGCTCCCGTGCTGAGCGCACTTTGTGATGAGCGTGTCGTAATTCTCACGTCCAAAGTTGCGCGTCTGGTGCAGCGCCGTGGCAACGACGCACACGGCCTGAAACTGAGCCTTGGAATCCGACACGGCCTCCTCGTAGATGGTGAAGGCCTGCGCGAAGAACTCGTACGCCACCTCTTCGAAGCCCACCATGTCCGCCGTCTGGCCCGCTGCGCAGAACAGACGCAGCGACAGCTCCGCCGTGCCTGCGCTGTTGACCCGCTCGTACAGCGTGCTGAGCGACGAGTGGACGAACTTGAAAAGGGCGTTGCTCTGCGTCTCCCAGTTGTCTTCAAAGTGCTCGCGCAGCTTAAAGCGCCGCGCCAGCTTCAGCGACGCCGTTACCAGCGGGGGCGTCGTCGTCCGGATCCGCTCCCCGCCCTCGCTAAAGGCCCTGCGCGTCATCTGCAGCAGCTTGAACTGCGTATCGTTGTCCTCACCCTGGAGCAGGTGCACCATCCGTGCCAGCCATCCCTGCTCCTCCAGCGTCTCGTCCGTCTCCACCGCCCGCCTCTGCGGGCCGCCAGGGTAGCCCTGGGGCGTCTGCGTGCCCTCCTTGATCAGCACTGATAGCACCTCGAGCACGTTCTCCAGCTGGTCCGTCCTCGAGATCTTGGTCTGGTTGCGTATAAGGGCGCGCGCCACTCCGCCTGCCACCGCCCGCCGCGTCGGGTACGTCTGGGCCTGGAATAGCGGCACGTAGGTGGGAAGCGAGAGCGCCGTGAAGATGGACGTGTATCGGTTGAGCGGCGCCTGCAGGAGCGCCAGGAGACTCTGCTGAGCGGGTGTCGAGTGAAGGTCGGCACTGTTCATGTGCTCGCGCGTCTTGGCTGCGGCGTACATGAGTGTCTGGTCAATGTAGTCAAGGCGGTCGGGGTAGATTTTGAGGGCCAGGTTGGCCAGCGACACGAGGAGCGCGATGACATCCTGAATAGGCAGCTGCTGGACCTCAACCAGGTTCTTGACCTGCCCAAAGAAGACCTCGTACAGCTGGACAGAGGCCAGAATGGCACCGCCATTGGTCTTCTCGGCGCCTCCCTCGTCCTGCCCCTCCTCATCCTGGCCATTGACAGCCGTCGACTCGTTTTCGGCAACAGATGCGGCTGCTGTTTCGTCGGACTCGTCTACGTCCTTGCTGTCGCCCTCCTCTTCTGTAGCGCCGTCCGGCGACACCGCCTGGTCGTCCCCGTCTACTGGCGTCTGTCCATCGCCGTTCGTGCCGGTCGCTGCCGATGCAGCTTTCTGCCGCTCGGCCGTCTCCTTTTGCAGCTTGATCTTTTCGAGAAGGCTCGCAAGAGCATCGGCCTCGGACTTGGCACGGTCATCTCCGTTGACGGTGCCCGAAATGCCGCCGGGGTTCTCGCGCTCGGCGTACTCAGACAAGCGGTCCATGAGGCCGATGACAATGGACTTGACGTTGACGTGAGGGTTGAGGCGGGAGACGGCGCCAAGGAACTGGTCGAGGGTGTGCAGGTGGAACTCGTCGGGGAAGACCTTGGTGATGACCTCGAGGAGGTATTCTTGGGCGAGGACGTCGCGGCACTGGACAACCTGCTCGAGGAGGGGGCCCAATATGGACGTCTTGTAGGTCTCGAGGTCGACTAGGCGGCTTAGGCGCTCAATGTTGCTTCCGACGAGAAGCTGAAGCTCCTTGCGCTCGCGGAGGCGGGCCTCACGCTCGCGCGAGTGGCCCTGGTGCTGCAGGCGGACCCAGAGCTTGTTCATCTCGACAAAGTTGGTGAGGACAAAGTTGATGGAGTCGCTGAGGTTTCCCTCCGGACCGTCGCCGTCGCCCGAGGGCAGAAAATCACGAGCCTGGCCGGACAGGTAATAGCGCAGGAACAGGCCGCGGATGGGGTGCTGGACGCCGCGGCTCATGTCCATCATGTCCTTCATCAGCTCCTTGACGGGCGCGTCCTCGACCGACATGTAGGCTGTGCCGACCGTAATCATGAGATACAGGCGCGGGATGATGTTTCCGGCATACTGGACCAGCTCGTACAGGTCGGCCAGGTGGTTGACGGGGTGACTCTCGCGGAGGTGGACGGACAGGTAGCGCAGGGCGTCGAAGACGGACATGTAGAGCTCGTAGTACTGCTTGGGTCCGAGGCTGCTGGTGCGCAGTTCCGAGACGAGGGTCGAGCTGTATTTTGTTTTGTTCAGTCTTGTTTGTTTCATCAAGCTCCCAGATGTTTTGACGAATTACCAAGAGGAAAAAGAAAGAAAAAAACACGTACCAGCATTTCAAAGCATCCATGAGCTTTCCAGGCGTGTCCAGGCACTTGCGCATGAGCGACGTCTGCTGCCGCACGGCAATCAGGGCATCCTCGAGAAGACGCGCCTGGTCCTCTGCAGGTGCCGGCGTAGCCATGGCTGGGAGTAGTGTGGCGGAAGGCAGAGACGTGGTTGGTCGTGGGCCAGCGGGGTTCCTGGGAGCTCGGTGCTGTACAGGACCAGGAGCAAGTGGCGCAACGCGATGCTGTTTAGAAAGCCCTTGAACGGGACTGTAGATAGTAGAAGCGAGTGGCTCGGTGGTCGTGGTGGCTGGCGATTGGCGGTTGGGGACCAAAGAGTGGACGAGAGGCAATATGCGCGAAGGAGAGAGTGACGAGGTTGGAGCTGCGGTCGTCAGGACAGGGATCCGGTAATATACAGCCTCAGCAAGAGCAGGAACAGGCAGGAGCAGGAGGAGCAATGGGGGTGACGACGTTATTATGGGGGGTATTTCCTAATTGATGTTCTTGGCTACCCTATATGTGGCCATTCAAGTCACGTGCATAATAGCAGATCGTACCTACCATTGTTACTTGTCTTATTACCACATAAGTACCTTCCAAGTTCATAAAAGAGTCTACTTCGCGGGGGTTCCTGTGATGAGCCAGTTCACCCGCTCGTCCTAGGAGGGACCAAGTAAAAGGGAAGGAACCAGATAAAGAAGGAAACATCGCAAAGCCACTGAATCACCATGGAGATAGTAGCGATTACGTTAATCTCCAGCACAAGCCGTCAAACCAAAGTGATATCTTGAAATCAAGCAACCGTCATAAGATCGCTCCTGCCGCAAGAAGAAAAAACCAATCCTAACCTATCCCTCTTAAAAACGCCGTCATGATGGAGAAGAAAATACTAAAGAACGAAAAGGTCCCGCCGGAGGGGGCAAAATTACCATACCCTCTGATCCCCGCCAATAGCCTCGTCCTCCTCTTCGACATAGCCATATCCCATCTCCCTTGCCTTCTTTGCCCTCTCCCTCTCCAACCTCTCTCTATGCCATGCCTCTCTCAGCTGGGGCGGCACTGAACCCGCACCGCCGCCGCCACCGTTCGAGGCGAGCAGGCCCTTCTTCCTGAGTCGTCGTCTGTGAGCCCGCCTGTCCTCGTACGACAGACTCGCGAGATCGACCTGCGTCAGGTCCCTCCCGTACAAGGCGTCCATCACATCGGCCACCACGTCGCCCACATCCTCCATGGCGACTGATAGGGCCTCGCGCCCCGCCCCGCCCGTCACCCACTGGTCTACCTTGACGGGAATGGCGACGCCGAACTCCGGGTCGCTAGATGACCAGGAGCATGGACCTGCACACGTCTTTGGGCGGCAGTACACGGTGCACATTGTCGACTCGAGAACCCACCACGTCGCTAGGATGACGGTGAGAAGGCCCAGCGACGTGAGGTGGAAGCGCGGCGAGAGGCGGAACAGTCGCGGCACGGGGAGACGCATGTACATGTCTTGATTGCCGGCGTGGGCGGTAGTCGTAGGCTTGCTAGGTGGTTGTTGTTGTGGTTGTTGTGCTCCTTTCCCGCTCGTGCCGTGAGATACCCGGTCTTCGAGGCTCTCAATCCCTCTCCTCGCAACACGACTCTGCTGCAGAACATGATTGAGCGTCTTGCCCATTCTCTCATACATTGCCTGGTCTGAGTCGGAGGTTGACTCTATTGTTTCCTTGAGCTCACTCCTCTCATTTGTGTCTTCGTGCTTGCCTTCTCCCTTTGGCTGCAGTTTAGGCCTTTCCTGCTCCTCCTGCAGCAGGTCGAGCTTAGTATCGAAGCTATCCTCGTCGCCAAGCGCGGTGGCATTGTCGGGAATACGATCGAGCAGGTTCTTCAATTGGGGCGATGCCGCTTTCCGTCCGGCAATAACACCGTCTAGATCGTCGTTGAGCGTTGAGTCTTCAATGTTGTACAGCTTCTGGAGTTCCTGGATGTCGTCCTTGACAGAAGGCAACTTGGCCGAGTTCTTGAGCGGCAGTCTGCGAGACCTGGACCCGGAACGGGAGCGGCTGCTCTTCCTTGTCGCTTCCGTCCCTGTCTCTTTCTTGGCTTTGTCTGCCACCTTATTTTCCTTCTCCTCCTCCTCCTCTGAGCCAACGCGGTCGCGAGACCAGAGCTTCTTAGCCACGACCCTGCCCCTAGATGATGACTCGCTTGTCGTCGACTTTTCATCGTCGTTGTCGTTGACATTATTGGGTTTGGCCGGCTTGATCGTGAGCGGCGTCTCGACATAAGCCCCCGTCACGCGTGGTGTAGGCATGGTGAGGAGCTCCTCTCTCCGTGCTGGCCTCGGTGTAGCTTCTACACCCTCCCCCTCGTCCTCCTCGTTTTCATCCTCGTTCTTGGTCTGCTGCTCGGGATCGGACATGGGGGATGGGGCCCTGACCGAGCCCTTTTCCGAATAATTGTCCTGCGGGGCGAACAGCTTCATCTCGCCCTCTATACGATCCGTCGGGTCCATCTCCGAGTGTCTGCTAGATCTCTTACTCCGGTCAGACTCGGTGGAGCGGACGCGTCGCAGGTCTACGAAACCGACTGTCGGACGGGTGGTGTTGGTTTTTTCTGTCGTTCCCGATCCAGGGTTATCGGCGGTGTCGTTGGCATTGGTACCACCAGCACCAGCACCAGCACCGACATCCGCGATGTTGGCCATAGTAGTGGCGCGCCTGTGTGCATACGTCTGGAGACGCGACGGTATCCTGGATGACGATGCGACTTCCGTGACTGCCATCTCTGGAGCTTTTTGGTTGCTTAGCTTTGATTCCGTGACCGGTGCGATGGGATTCAAGCGTCCAAATTGGCGCATGAGGTCCCTGGGATCACGTCTTGTAGGCCCTGGCCTCTGATTATCCTGCTGCCGCTGCTGCCGCTGCTGCTGCTGCTGCTGCTGCTGACGCGACGGCGGTGAGAGCGTAGCATTTTCTCCATTCCGGTTGCTGTTGCGCTGACTCCCTGGGCTGTTTTTGTTGTTGTTGTTGTTGTTGCCGCCGCCAGACTCTCCCCACGCTGGTTTAGGAGGGTTCTGCCGAGTAGGTTCCGATGGTGATCGGCGCCTCGACGCGGCGGCATTGTGCTCCTTGATCTCCGCCAGGCGCGCGTCAGACAGCTGCCTGTTTGTTAAGACCTGGTCCGACTCGCGCCCACGTATGTCGTCGATCTTTGTGTTACTCCTGGGGGCTGCAGAAGGCAGCCGTCTGTCAGGGATGGGGATGCTCTTCAGGGCGTCGGCCTCGCTGGCGCGGATCTCGTCGAGCCTGTTGTTTGTGCGCGGGATGGCTGAGGGCCGCTGCACGGGGATGTTGCTGCCTGATCTGATCTCCCGCCCGTGGATCTCGTCGAGCTTCGTGTTGCGTGACCCGGGCGTGCCAATCTTGGAAGGGGAGGTGTCCGGCCCGGTGCCGCGGCCGAATGACGACGCCAATCTGCTGGCGAATGGACGAGCACTGTTGCTGTTGTTGTTGTTGTTGTTGTTGTTGTTGTTGTTGTTGTTGTTGTTGTTGTTGTTGTTATTTCCGATCCTGATGCGCGGGCTGTCGGAGATTTGCAGGTCGCCAGCTGTGAATTCGTCATCAATGTCCCAGGCGAAGCTCTTTTCCGGGGACAGGCTCTTGCGTCTGGGTTTCAACGGCGACGCCTCGACAGAGTGTATGGGCATGTCGTCTATGCCGGGGACCAGATCGGGCAGGCCCTCAGTGTTGTTGCTGTTGTTATCGTCGCTCGTCCCAAGGAGCCACTCAGTGCCAGTCTTGGACCTGCTCCGCCAATTCGGTCGGTTCCTCGACAGGGGAGCAATGTTGTTGTTGTTACCCTCGTCGCGTCGGACGGTAGGTGTATTATTATTGTCGGCGTCGGCGTCGCTGCGCTTTCCGCGCCACGTCCTAGGGGCTGGACTGGGCGACGCATCGACCGACAAGTCGCCGGTCGTCTCCTCGTTCTCAGCCATGCGGTACGCGTCAGTGAGGGACATGCGCGCACGGTTGGAAAAGGCAGCGGGAGACGCGGTCGCCGGGGCTGCTCCGGCGACGGGCTTGGGGATGCGCGACCCGCCAGGGCTGAATGTCGTCGACCCCAGGCTTGTCTCGCTGTCGCCGCGGCGTTGCGCCGACGACGCTGCGGGCGGTTGGTAGCGCTGAATCTCCGGTTTGAATCTCTGGTTCTGCTTGTCGTTGTCTGCCCTAACTCCAAACAGTGGCTTCCTCCCTTCTTGTTGGACCAGTAGCGGTGGTTGGTGGCGGCCGTTGGGTCGGGGTCGCGCGCCAGCAGCCACGGAGTCGGCAACGGCTTCCATGAGGTGAAGAGCAGTGTGTCTGTAATGCGCGGAAAGTGTCGTCGCTTTATATTCTCTTTTTTCTTGCTTTCGGTTACGCCGTCCTGTCAAGTGGCATAGTCGCGAAAGAATCAGAACTCAGGTCGCGTCATACCCAAGCCATCAAGGTGAGGGGGGAGCTACAATGATGAACTGGTGGCAAGCAGGCCAGTCAGTTAGTCTTGTATGATGAGAATCACGAGGCCTGGTGATTGGGGGGGG